AGAAGGAATTATCAGAATTTTTTTGTCCTTCCTGCTCCGTACCAAAATCTATTTCCTCTCCCACTTTCACACACTCAACCCTTACTCTGGCTTTGATATAGCTGATACTGACAGACAGAAATATCTCAGGTGTGCTGCCAGCTGTCAGCTTTAAATTTTAGTTTAAAAAAAAAAAACCAAACAAAGAAACAAACCGTGGAAAGAGCAAAAGAATGTCAGACATGATGAATCAGACATCATATTAGACATGGCAGCCTGGAGATCCATGTGAAAATCAAAGTGCTGTCATTCACACAGGCACAGTATAGAAAAAAATCATTCTGATTTCTTCAGGTGTACCAAACTATTTCTGATCTGATTGTTATGTGGAGAGTTTACATCAAGTGTTCCTCTGTCTTTCTGTCTCAGGGTTTAAATGCTACAGGTTTTAAGAATGGGACCCTTTAGTTGGGTGATTACTGTGGGCACTAATGGATTCGAACAAATGGAATCGAACAAAGGCCCCTCAGCAACTCATGAGGGCTTTACCTCATGAGCAAACACTTCTTTCATGAACAAATGAAAGTTATAACTTAACATTTTCATAGAATCATAGAATCATAGATTAGTTTGGCTTGGAAAGGACCTTAAGATCATCTAGTTCCACCCCCCCTGCCATGAGCAGGAACACCACACTTTTCTGTAAGTAGAACAGGCTGCTTTTAGTCAGTAGCTCATGCTCCTAGAAGAGTAAATACTCTTTCTCACTGGATTGTTTGCTTGCTTACCATGTTGAGGGCAGGAGCACAAGAATTGCTAGTCTAGATAAGATAAGAGATCCATTTCTATGAGTATTATCTCCACAACAGTTGGATCAATCTAGTTTTAGAGGAAAAGCCATAAAGAATGCAACAATAGGAAAACCGCCTAGTCTTCTGTTCCCTTTTGACTGTTATCTCTGCGTGGGCATAACCACCATGAGCCCATAACAGTAAGACAGAAACATAGAATCATAGAATAGTCAGGGTT